CTCAGTGTCCTCGGGGCTGGAGCCTGCGAGAAGCCTTTCCTGCTCCTAGCTTTGAAGAGACAAGAGAGGACAATGACCATAACCTGGAGAGGCACGCGTACAGAGAGAGTTCACTGCTAGCAGAGTGGCCGTCCCGGAAAGCGAGCCTCTCTCCCGGATTCCCCACGCTTGGCCTTCTCTCTTCTTGACTCTTACCCCTTCCCCCGTATTCCCCCATCACTCTTTCTCCATTGCTTTTGGGCAGCTGTGTTGGATGAGGTGGGAAACGTAGGCAGTGTGATTTTATAGCAAATGGCAGCTCAAAGCTGTGTGATCTTGGGCAAAATGTTAACCCTCTCTGAGCTTTGCTTCCTGTTCTTATCCAGTGGGAGAATCAGGACCGCTCTGAGGGCTGAATGAGACCATGCAGGTAAGGGTCTACCACGGACGGTGAAGTCCCCCAGATGTGCTTGCCCTTTTCCCTGCTAACCAACCTTGGTCTTGGTGAGTTCTCCCCCGCTGAAATGGGCCAGAGAAGTGAGAAATGGCCGTGGGGTGAATCTCCGTGTCTCCACCAGAGCTGGAGCCTTCATACCCACCCAGACCTCACCCCAGGCCTGCTTCCCCTCTTCGCCAGCCCTGCTCTGTTCCGGGCGTCCAGGCCCACCCCCACGGCGGCACCTTTCTCAGGTAGACTTTCACCAGAAATGTCCCCTTCTTTCCTACTTAAATGCAATGTGCTCTCTGGGTCCTGCTCAAGGCCTTTCATCCCGGAGGCCTTCCACGACCCCTTCCTCTCCTGCTCTGGGCATGTGCGGTCCTCGTGGTCCTCGGCAACGCCTCCTGTGTTTGTGCTGCTTCTGGAATTAAGAAACATAAGGCAGGGGCGTGGGACCAGGGTGAGTCCCTGCCTCTCCCTTGGTTTTTATTTTGACTGTTGTCAACTAAAGCATTTTCCTTGGAGGGTCTCTGTGCTCCGCCTGTCCCACACCCTCAGCCGCCGTGGCGTAGGCAGCAGGCCCTCCCTTGTTGGCTGAAGGACGGAAGACTCTGAGAGGGTGACCCATTCCAAATCCACTGCCTGCTGGCCAGGACCTTCAGGAGTCGCTCTGACCTCAGCTCAGTTATGAGGCTCAGCCTCAGGAGTTTTGCAGAGAGATTTGGAGGGCGGGCTTTGCCTTGTGCTTCCACGGTGGCTCCAACTGGGCCTCTTGAGGCCGGTTCATACCCTACCCCTTAAGGTGCTGGGCTGAGTTTAAACTGACGTCACTACAGCCAGAGCTGTTCTAGAGAGGACTTGCCAGGCCCAAGGCTGGTAAGCAGGGAGAAGCGAGCAAGCCTGGGGCTCGTAACTGTCGGTGTTAAGAGCTTTACCTGCCTGGTCTCATTCAGCCCACAGAGCAGCCCTGATCCCCACACCGGATAAGGACGGAAGCCAAAGCTCAAAAAGGGTTAACATTTTGCCCAAGATCACACAGCTTTGAGCTGCCATTTGCCACAAAATCACACTGCCCACATTTCCCACCTCATCCAACTCAGCTGCCCAAATGTGGGGGTGGGACAGGACTCAGAGGGAAGGAAAGGCCAAGTGGGGGAGTGGGGAGCTCCGGGACACAGACACACTCTCTGAGACTCACTGCATGGGCAGTTTGTCCTCATGGGCTGCCTCCCCAGACTCCAGGTCCCAGACATGGCATGAGGAAGCAGGGCTGCCTATGAGCCACGTCTGTCTGCCCAGATTCTTCTTGCTGTCCAGCCAGCAAGATCCCTCCTTCCCCAAGAGCCAGCCCCAGATCCAGCCTCAGGGGCTTGCCCCTCCCAGAACTATGGGCTCCCTAGTGGCCACATTTAACCCCTGGCCCCTCCTACTGATGCAGCTCCAAATGCTCCGTCTTGGAGGTAGGGATTGGCACAGTTATCTATTAGCTGTGAAATTAATCTGTCCCTGCTCTCCCTCACCCTGGAATCCCCCTGAATCATCAAAGCTTGTGGCTGGCCCGTGGACGTGTGAGGAGCAAGCCCACTTCTCTGGGCTGCGGAGGTAGAGCTCGCCTTGCTGGAGGAAGGGGAGGAGAAGGCAGAGCAGCTAGGCTCCTGCTGCTGTTAAGGCTTTCTCACAGGTGAGGAGGAAGCAGCTCTGGGGCCGGGGGTGGAGGGGGGAGGTTAGGGCATGCACAAATGCTGGTGTCCCAGGGGTCCTTGGTCTGGGGAGGTGGACAACTGGCAAGTAGGGGGGTAGGAAGATCCTCTTGGTGGCTGCTTAGTGTGCAGAGCCTGCTTGCACTCTGGAGCCAGCCGGCCTGGAACCAGTGCCCAATAGCATTAGCTTCTTCCCAGGCATGAAGATGGCAGGGGTGTGGCTGCAGTGGCAGAGAGCTCGGATGCCAGCGTGGGCAGCTGGGTGAGAGCCCCAAGCCCCGGGGATGGAGGCAGAGCTGCAGGGCAGGGCAGGGACCACAGTGAGGCAGGCAAGGTGGACAGGGCACAGAATGTCAGCAGGTGCTGTGTCAGGAGCGCAGCGTCCATGCAGCCCTGAGAGTGACGGTTTCCTAAACGTTTGCTTCCTAGGCACCTGGCTTGCGTCTTCAGTCCTGCTGCTGGAGAAGCAGCAATGGCTCCCCATGCCTGGAACCTGCTGCCCCAGCCTCCTAGACTAAGCAGTCCTAAGAGGTTCAGGGAGAGGTGCTCCAGGGAGAGCCACTGAGACCTTTCCACGCATACACACTGTGTTGGGACATGTTGGCCCATGAGGGAGATAAAGCATACTGCTCACAGCCAGGCCATTCCTGGTCAGGCCCCCTGCCCTGGAGCCCCAGGGGTATCACTCTTGGCAGGCGTAGACAGGGAGGAAATTAGGAGTGGGGTTCCTGACTTCCATCCCCTACCAGTGTCTGGGTGACCTTGGCTAGTCCTTCCAGTTCTAATCAAAGGCAAAGCCTCTGTTTTTCTGTCTCTAAACTGGGGAGAACCATATCCTCGCTGCTGCTCTCTCTGGAATGGGGGTAGAGAGGAAGGCTGGGAGGCCTCTGCAAAGTGGGAGTCTCCTGCCTCCTGGCTGCCAGGCTGCTCCTGCTTTTGGACCAGATTAAAAGAACCTCCAACATGGGTCCCAAAATAGACAGAAATGAGGCAGGTCACAGGGGCCTCCCAAACACCTCTGAAAGCTGCCCAGCACCCCAGATCCCTCCTCTTCTAGCCCAGGATTTCTTTTCTTTGCTTTGCTTTTTTTTTTTTTTTTTTTTGAGACAGAGTCTCGCTGTGTCACCCAGACTGGAGTGCAGTGGCACGATCTCAGCTCACTGCAACCTCTGCCTCCCAGGTTCAAGTGATTCTCCTGCCTCAGCCTCCTGAGTAGCTGGGACTACTGGTGCCCACCACCATGCCCAGCTAACTTTTTGTATTTTAGTAGAGATGAGGTTTCACTGTGTTGCCCAGGCTGGTCTTGAACTCCTGAGCTCAGGCAATCCGCCTGCCTCGGCCTCCCAAAGTGCTGGGATTACAGGTGTGAGGCACCGCGCCCAGACACTAGCCCAGGATTTCTGATCATCCTTCAAAGCCCAGTTCAGACCTCACCTCTCTCTAGAGCATCCCCCCACCCCAGGCCAAGGATTAATCTCTCCTCATTCTTCCATCTCACCTCACCGAAAGCATTTAGGACCATGCCTGGCATGCAGCAAATGCTCAATTGAAAGACATTTTATGTCTTTGTAATAATTTCTTGCAGTGCTCAGAACTAAATTAACCATAATCTTTGGTTCAAACTCCAGTACTATCACTGGCCCATGATGGCTTTCTTCAATTGTTTAATTATAATTTATTTTCAATAATATAATGAACTCCCACCGGGCAGGTGGCTCACGCCTGTAATCCCAGCACTTTGGGAGGCTGAGGCCGGCGGATCACGAAATCAAGAGATCGAGACCATCCTGGCCAACATGGTGAAACCCTGTCTCTACTAAAAATACAAAAATTAGCTGGGCACGGTGGCATATGCCTGTAGTCCCAGCTACTCAAGACTGAGGCAGGAGAACCACTTGAACCTGGGAGGCAGAGGTTGCAGTGAGCTGAGATCGCGCCACCGCACTCCAGCCTGGGCAAGAGCGCAAGACTCCATCTCAAAAAATAACAGTAATAATAATAATGAACACCCATTAACTGATCACCCAATCCAAAAACCCAAAGGTTTAGAATGTATTATCTTACCCTTTTCTCTCCCTCATCCTCCCATCTGCCCTCCAAGAAGAAACCATCCTCTTGAAGTGTGTGTTTATTATCAAATAAATGCAAGACTATAGGTACCCAGAGAGGCAAGAAGGCTGGTAGATTCTTCAGCAGAAGTAGCTGTTTCTCCAGTCAAGCTGCAACTCTCTTGAGAGCAGCGTCTGGCTTCCTTTTTTGCTGCAGTGTGAGCGGCATGGGGCTGGCCACACCACATGGTCGGTGGAAGCTACTTGGGGCACCAAGAGCAGGAAAGGTGAGGCCTGAGTGCATGTCAGGAGGCACAACACGGATCCAGAATAGGGAAAGGGGCTTTCTGGTTCTAGCTCACTGCACCTGGCAGGTGACCGTGTGACTTCAACCCTGCCCTGTGACATCACACAATGTTGCCCAGGTGACCCAGCTAAGTGGAAAAGCTCACTGCTTTTCCAGGCCTGGGCAGAGAGAGGGCCCCCCATCTCTCCACCATCCTGGGGGTGCCAAGAGCCAATTGCCTCGTTGCTGACCCTGCCCAGCTGGCCATGGCTGGCAACCCCCAAGGCCCCTCCACCCACAGACCATCTTGCTGCTGAGAGATCGAGGACCTGTCCCACCTGCCCACCCTCCCCCTCCCCACCATTCAGACCCCAGGGCTGATGTGTGGCACCCCTGAGACCACAGTGACCTCCATACTGTCTGCTACCCGTAAGACTCCAAGACGCCCAGGCCAGCTGTCCGGGCAGGACTGATGCCTGATCACCCACTGATACCAGGTATGGTCCCAAGATTGTTAAGCAAGGCCAGACATCCCTGCCCTCAAGAGGATGGGATGGAAAAACAGAAAGGTGAGGCCAAGGACATGGGTCATGCACCTGCATGAATCCGTCCCTCCTCCCAAGGCCCTCCTTAAAAGTTATGTGTGCGCCTTAATTATGACAAAAGCTTCCCTTCTCTGGGTCTCAGTTTTCACAGCTGTGAAATGGTCCCTGTGGCTGTCCCAGGTTAGCTGCCCTATACTCTTGCGCCACGGGGGAGCTGGAATGCAGTGTGTGCTTGCAGATGTTGTCCATGCTGACCACCCGTACCTGGTGGTTCCTGCCATCCTGTTGCTGGGATCACATAGTCTCCGAGAGCCCACTGAGATGGTTCATTACACCCGTCCAATCGCTTCCAGGAGATTTCCAGGCTGCTGTCTTGGCAGCCCTGATGCCCCTACTGCCCCCAGGCTTCCTAGCCCTGGCCTTGATTTTCCGGGGCCTAGGCCCCTGCCCTGGAACACAGATGCTTGGGTCTCTGGAGAGAAGGGACTTTTGTGTTTTGTTCATTGCTGTATCCCCAGCACTCAGCACAGTGCCTGGCACATAGTAGGTGCTTAATAAAAAGCTGTGGCCCAGCAGCAGGACTCTGCCAGGAAAGGACTAGCATCTCAGTGCAATGAGATGCAAACAGTTCAACGCAAGAGAGCCCTTACCTTCCTCACTGGCAAGGCTGAGCCCCTGCCCTAGATGGTGTCATTCACCCACAGGGATGGCAGAAGGAGCTGAGACCAAAGGCACACAGGTACTTGCAAACTGGGAAACCCTCTTTGTGGTTACACTCAGGTTGAATAAGCCACATAGGTGGGGGTGCCCAGGCCCTAGTGTGATTTCCACTTTATTGCTCTGGAGTTTGATGTCTCTGGCTCCTGACATTCTCTGCCCACAGCTGGCCCCTCTCAGACTCCACCCTCCCTATTAAGCTTCTTTCTGTAATGCCACACACTCAGGACCAGGCACCAGGTTGACCTGGCACCCTAAGTGCCATCTGGTCCCCACGTGACCTATGGAGCTGGATTTGGGATCCAGGGAGTTGCGTGGGAGTCCTCAGGAGGAGCCAAGGTTGCTTTGATTGGTAGCTTTGAGAAGCACTTTTGATAGCTGGGTGGAATCGCCTGTCAGGTTGCCCATCATGTCCGGGCGCGGTGGCTCACGCATGTAATCCCAGCGCTGTGGGGATTCTGAGGCAGGAGTTTGAGACCAGCCTGGCCAACATAGAGAAACCCTGTCTCTACTACAAATACAAAAATTAGCAGGGTGTGGTGGCACACAGCTGCAATCCCGGTTTTTCAGGAGGCTGAGGCAGAGGAATTGCTTGAACCTGGGAGGCAGAGGTTGAAGTGAGTTGAGATCACGCCACTGCACTCCAGCCTGGGCAACAGAGTGAGACTCTGTCTCAAAAAAAAAAAAAAAGCTCATCATGTATATATAATATATATTCATGTTTCTTCTTTTGTGAATCCCCAGTTCGTGTTTTCTTAATTGAGGTGATGTTTGTAGGTTTCAGTGCTCTTTGTATATTGGCGATATTAATCCTTTTATGTATATATAGAGAGCAAACATTTTCTCCTTTTTTTCTTTTCTTTGTTTTGCAGGGCGTTTTTTACCATTATAGAAGCTGGTATAGATTTTTTAAAATGTAATCAAGCCCACCCTTTTTTAATGATTTCTGACTTTTGTGTCATCTTCGGGAAAGCTTCTCTGCTCCAAATACCGCAATTCCTCTTGCTGCCACCAATGGATGCTCAGGTTATGAGTTCCAGGGGGTATCCACTGTGGAGCAGAGAAGGGAGCCACATCCGAGGAGGCATGGTTAGAGCACCGCAGAGACAGCGGGAGTGTGGGTCACACCGACCCTGCTTCCAGTTCCAGCCCTGGCCCCAGTAGCTAAGCTGTGTGCTTTCACGCAGAGGGTTTGCTTTCTCTGAGTGTGCTTCCTCACCTGTAAAACAGCTTTCCCCTGGTCACAGGAACTCCCAGGAAGGTTTAGATGCTGAAACTGAAAGGAACCTGGGGGACCATTTTTAACTGAAAGTCCTGGGAAACTGCTGGGAAATAGCCCCACTGCAGTCAAATAAGTTGCCCACATGACAGATCTGGGCAGCCAGGCACCCTGCCTCCCAGCCCAGCCCCTCTCCAGCTGGTGTGGGTTTTCAGACACAGGGCCCTTCTAGAGGGCGGAACTGGGCTTCGCTCCCCAGGCCTCCCAGACTGCTGGAGGAGAGGGGTGGCAAGGGAGGCGTGGTGGAAGAGTTGGTCTCCTTCCATCTCTATCGCTGCCAGAACCAAGTTAAGCCCCCACCCCACCTTCGGGAGCTGAATTCAAGGGCCATTAACTCCTTCCTATGGTTTCTGCCTCTTCCTCCCACCGCTGCCCCTCCCCCCAGCACTCAGATTCAAAAATGCCCTAAGTGGTGGGCAGTCCTAGCTCCCCCAACACCTGCTGGCTAATCCTGGCCTACTGAGGGCAAGGCCACCTGTCTGGTTGGGTAAGGGCACTGGAGGTAGCAGCTTCTGGATCTGGGGGATGTGTATTCTCACCTCCTAATTAGTCATCTTGCTAGGCGAGGACCACAGCCTGCACCAGGCAAGCCGAGGGAAGGGAGGGAGCAAGGCACAGGGATGACAGTTCTGGAGTGAGACCCAGGGATTAGCGGTCCAGCAAAGAGAAGAGCTGGGGCAGAGGCACGGAAGGAGGAGGGAGCTTGGCGGGTGCGAGAATCAGCCAGGAGGCCAGTGTGGCTGGAGCGGAGTGACCCATAGGGCCCCATGGGACAAGATGAGGTCAGCTTTCTGGGTCAGCTCCTGGAGGGCCCCACGGGAACATTACCAGGCCCAGTGGAGTAGCTGAGAGTGCTGAGCTTTGGAATCAGGCCGACTTCGGTGCCCACAGCCCAGCCTCTCGTCCACTGGCTGTGTGGCCTTGGGCAGCTAAACTGGCCAAACCCCTGCCTGGAGAAGCTGCCTGCCGATCTCTGCACCCTAGCAGTGTTGGGTCGGTTAACTGAGAGTGAGCCTGAGAGGCTGACGGTGAGCACCCAGCTCTGCTCCCTGCCAAGAGGAGACATGAGTTTCCTCCCCAGAGCTCACCATGCCCCTACAGATGGGTTTGTGCTGCCTGAGACTTACAGGGGGATTTCCCCATCACCCCCAGTTCACTCCCCCTTGTGTAACTCGGTATGTGCATTTTCTGTTGTCTCATAAACCCTCCAGTGCAGGCCAGGGTAAGTGATGGGTTGAGGACGTTGGTTCTGATGCAAGACGCCTGTGAGGGAAGTGGGCAGATTCCCATCCAGACGTGGGAGGGTTGGCTGCCCTGGCCCCCCATCCCCATCCTGGCATCACCCTTGGCCCCAAGCCTCCCTGGCCCTGGGCCCAGCCTACCCAGCGGGCACATGCCTGCAGGCCTCACCAGGAGGCGCCAGCCTGGCAGCTGGCCTCATGCCCAGAGCTGAAGAACGAGCAGTTCTTGCCAAACTTCCTGCAAGCATTTTTCCCAGAAGGGAAGGCTGTCCCCAAGGGGGAGGCACAGAGGAGGTAGAGGAGGAGCCAGTGCGACTCCTGGCTGGGTCTGCAGGTGCCTAATTGGGCTCTGGGGCTGCCAGGGAGTCAGTGAGAACCTTGGACAATGGTGGTGCTCCTGGGCCCTCACTTGTGTGACCCTAGGGAGCTCGTGACTCCTAGGCCCTGTGACAGGGCCTGTACCCTCATAGCAAAAAGGGGAATCCATGAAGGAACATTAATCACCCCCCCCAGCTCACTGCAGGAACTTCAGGCACAGTAACCACGGAAAGGCTGAATCACAAACCATTCCAGGCATTCCCATTGGCCAGGTGGGAAACTCAAGGCTCAGAGAGGTGGGGCAGAGAGGTAGGGCCAGAGCTGAGCTGAAACCTAGGTCTTTTCTTCCTTCCTTCCTTCCTTCCTTCCTTCCTTCCTTCCTTCCTTCCTTCCTTCCTTCCTTCCTTCCTTCCTTCCCTCATTCTTCCTTCCTTCCTTCCTTCCCTCATTCTTCCTTCTTTCCTTCCTTCCTTCTTTTTTTTGGATGGAGTCTCAGTCTATCACTCAGGCTGGAGTGCAATCTCAGCTCACTGCAACTTCTGCCTCCCCGGTTCAAGTGATTCTTCTGCCTCCCCAGTTCAAGTGATTCTTCTGCCTCAGCCTCCCGAGTGGCTGGGACTACAAGCTCGTGCCACCACACCCGGTTTACTTTTGTTTTCTTAGTAGAGACGGGGTTTCACCATCTTGACCAGGCTGGTCTCAAACTCCCAGCCTCAAGTGATCCACCTGCCTCGGCCTCCCAAAGTGCTGGGATTACAGGCATGAGCCACCACACCCAGCTGCGCTGAAACCTAGGTCTTTTGCCCTGGGGCTGCCAGCCTTGCTCCTGTGCCACTAAATCAGGAGAGCAAGGCTTCGGGGGAGTGGGGGGTCATGGTGGTGGGCAATGAGGGTGGATATGGGAGGAAGCTGCCTACCCAGGAGGGCAAGGAGCAGCACTCTGGCTGTGCCCCATCCCTTACCTCCAGGCAGGGGCATCTTCCCCTCCTGAAGGAAGGGAAGGAGGAGGGGCAACCTTCATCAACACCTCTGCAGATGGTGACAGGCTCTGCTGGGTCCTGGAGGAGGGTAGGGGTGGCCTCCTCAGTCAGAGGAAGGAGGGGGGTCTCTCTGCAGGACTGGCACTTCTGACCTGGGGGGCATGTATTCTCACCTCCTAATTAGTCATCTTGCTAGGCAAGGACCACAGCCTGCACCAGGCAGGCTGAGGGATGACAGCTCTGGGGTGACACCCAGGGAGGAGCTGTCCAGGCTGAGAGAACAGCTGGGGAGAGGCCGGGAGGGAAGAGGAAGCTCGTGGGTATGAGAAACAGCCGGGAGGCCAGTGTGGCTGCAGCAGAGTGACCCACAGGGCTCTATGGGACAAGAGGAGGTCAGTTTTCTGGGCCAGCTCCTGGAGGGTCCCATGGGCCATTGCTAGGCTCTGAGAGAAGCAGCAGGCTACTCCAGGGTTCTGAGCAGAGGAGAGAGAGGGTCCAGACCAATCTGTAAAGGCTCACTCTTGCTGCTGTGTGAGATCGGATGGGGTGGAGGGAGAGCTGGATAGGAAATGAGAAAGCCGTCAGAGGCGAGTCGGGAAGTGCGGGTGTCTGGGAGGGACCTGAGTGCTGACCCGAGGATGCCGAGAAGGGGTCAGAGTCCAGAAATGGTTTGAAGGCGGAGCTGACAGGATCTGCTGAGGAACTGCATAAGGGATGGAAGAGGGAGAGAGCGAAGAATCAGGAAGGACTCCAAGATGTGGGGCTTGAAAAACTAGAACAGATCGCCATTAACTCATTAAGGAGTTGGGGCAGACAGCAGGAGGAAGGGTTCGAAGAGGAGGCAAGAGCTTGTTAGCTGTGAGAGGCCAGTAGACCCCTAGAGGAGCTGTTGAGGGGGTGTGTGGCTCCGATTTGTGGGCACCCCACACTGTCATGAGAAATGGATGAAATAATGTCCCTAAAACTCCTCAGGGCAGGGCAGAGACTCAGGCACTGTCCCCTTTTCTTACCCTCTGCCTGAGGTTTCCAGGAGCCAGCAGGGGTGGTGCGGTGCCCAGGACCCCCAGGCTCAAGGTAGGAGCAGAGCAGGTTCCAGGTAGGCCAGTCCAAGCCCTCATCTCCCCACTGGTGAAACTGACTCTCAGAGCATGGCTGGCTTTGGTAGCCGGTGTGGCGAGAGGCAAAGCTGGTTTAAACCTGCTCTCCTGACCATCAGGGCTCTTCAGGAGCTAGCCCATTCTGAGCCAGGGACTCAGCCTGCCGGGGCTGCCATCAAAGCCAAAGTCCGTCCAGGGCCCAGATCCTTGCTTCTGTCTGGGCCTCAATCTCCCCTCTGTGTAATAGGACATTGTTAACCCCATCCACCAAGGCCTGCCCTGGAATGCAGGGTCTGACAGGCTGAGCTTGCCAGAGACGTGGGACAGCCTCCCAGTGGCCCCTCAGGACTCCACCACCACCCTGAGGAGGTCCACTGCTCATCTCCCAGGACCAGGAATGCCCCTCTATGGCCCCTCACATCAGCTGGAGGGACAAAGGGTAGGGAGGCCTCCTGCCAAAGGAGGCCTACCAAGGATTAATCTGGGTCAGATTAACTGGGAGTGGACAGTCAGCCAGCCGGCCTCCTCTCTGCTGCCTTCCCTGACTGGCTCAGCCGGCCAGGGCTCTGTCTCTTCTCAGCAATTCATCACAATGGTCCTTTGGGCCGTGGAGCCATGAGTTACCGAGCAGCTGTGTCCCCGCATGGGGCAACTGGCGCAGGAGGCCCTGGCATGGGCAGGCACCTCCTCCTCCCCAGTCCGCAAATTTCCCTAGGTAGAAGACAGGTGGGGCATCTGGGACGGACACATGTATTCACCTCCATGTAATGCGCGGAGCGCCCCCGAGGCGTGGAGAAGCTTTGTAAGCTATAAAGCGCGGTGCACAGGAAGGACCTGAGGTGACGGGTGGGCTGAGGCGAGGTTACGGGACAGACTGAAGAAGGTGGCCCATTGCTGGAACTGAAAATGCAGGTGGGATTTAGGAATTACAGGTGAGGGTACTTGCTAAAGCCAAGGCTTAGAAGTAGGACCGGACTTGAAAGGTGAGGCGGCCTGTCTTATCCTGGATCCAGGCCTAGGGGAGAGGCTGAGAGGCACTGAGGGATGTGGGATGGGGACAGAAGTAGGGAGAAAATGGGGCCAAGCGACTGCCCTGCAGAGTGGGTGGAGGGGTGACAGAGGGAGGCAGGCACTTGATGGGAGCTGTGAGGGGGGCTAGATGTTAGAGGGTGGCAGTGAAGGGAGGTGCTGCAGCAGAAGAGGCCACTCAGGGCCAGGCGCAGAGACTCACACCTGTGATCCCAGCAATTCGGGAGGCCAAGGCGGGTGGATCACCCGAGGTCAGGAGTTCGAGACCAGCCTGGTCAACATGGTGAAACCCTGTCTCTACTAAAAATACAAATATTAGCAGGACGTGGTGGCACATGGCTGTAATCCCAGTTACTGCGGAGGCTGAGGCAGGACAATCTCTTGGACTCGGGAGACAGAGGCTGCAGTGAGCTGAGATGGCACCACTGCACTCCAGCCTGGGTGATAGAGTCAGACTCTGTTTAAAAAAAAAAAAAGAAAAAGTAAAAAAAGAGGTCACTCATCCTTGGCTCTCCCCACAGAACACTGAAGGCCCAGAGGAGCCCCTGGTCGCCTCCCAGAGCATGGAACCGGAAATCGGTCACCTGTCTTCCTCTAACAAGGAGACCATCATGGTCACCCTCCATGGGGCTACCAACCTGCCTGCCTGCAAGGATGGCTCTGAGCCGTGGCCCTATGTGGTGTTGTAAGTAGCTGGGTGAGAGTGGGGGCAGGGGATGGGTTGGGGCTGTGAGCAGAAACAGGGGGACAGCTATTTGGGTTATGACCACCCAAAGGCCCAGGACGGGGACTGTCATACCCAGAGAGGAAAAGCCGAGTATGACTCACAGAGGCGCTGTGAGCACTGCCTGGCATATCTGCCGCTGCATGGGAAGCTGCTCACCGGGGCTGGGCAAGGCCGGGTGCCAAGGAATCAGAGCGTCACCCCCCACCCCACAGCAGCCGGGCAGGGATTGGCCACAGCTCAGCTGCAGTGGGGCAGGGCCCTCTCATGCAGAGGCCTGGGCTGGGCTCATGGGGGTGATGGTCAGATTGGGGAAGGGGAAGATTTGGGGCCTGCCTCTTTTGACTTCTGGGTGCCCCACCCCATCATGCCCAGCCCTGGGGTAGGGTCCTCATAGCCACCCTCCCCTCCCCTCCTTCTCCAGCCACTTCTGTCAGGGGGACTCCCTTAGCTCTGGGCCTTTAATGCACCGCACACGCATCCTCCAGCCAGCTGCTGTCAGGGTACACACTTCTCCAGCCTGGTGCCAAGGCCTGATACGCCACGTCTATGCCCACCTCACGGGTCTCACTTCTCCCAGAAAGGCACCAAGGGCAACACAGTCTCCATTCAGCCAACCTTCACTGGGATCACTGGACGTCTGCTCAATCTTTACTATACAGCACCCTCCAAGGAGCATGTGGCCCCTAGATCTCTACAGACAGATGGTGGGAGCCGTGGTGGTGTCCCACCAAGCCACCCTATACTTCCCCAACCCCACCAATGCCAGCACCATTCAGTTCCTGCCAAGAGTCTGTTGCCCACATTTCTTTTAGGGAAGCGCCTGACTGCCCCAGCCCTCTTACCAATGCCTGCCGAAATCCTCCCTTGAAAGCCTCCTCCTCCAGGCAGCCACCAGAGTTCAGCTCTCCCTCCTCTGGTGCTCCAAGTAGAGGTGACCCTGGTTTGAAGTAAGCTTTATATCAGTATGGTTTATGCGCTCCTCTGGAGCTCCCTGAGGACAGATCTCCTCCTCCATTTCCCCCAACAATGCACCCAACATAGGCCTGAGCCCAAACTTAGGAGTGACTGAGGCCAACACCTGGTTACTATGACAAGTCTCGTCCCTCCAGTCCCCCACGGTGAGACCAACAGGTGAAACACTTGCCTCAAAAGCCCCATTTGTGCCAGCCCAGCTCCTCGGCCCTCCCTCCCCCAACTCCATTTCCTTGGTGAGGGAAGGGCAGGTGGAGGGAGCAGGCTTGGCAAGGAGGCTGGTTTCTAGCGGGGGAGCCAGCCTTCTCCGCTCAGCTATTTCCATAAACCAATTATCGCCGATCATCTCGGGAGATTGAGGCCCTGCCTGTCACCAATCCAGCCTGGGCGGCGGGGCGGGGAGCTGGGTGGCCGCGTGGCTCTTAGGCAGGCACCGCGACCTGGCCATCACCCGGTTGCCATAGGAACGCGCGGCTGGCGCCTAGGCGACCTGAGCCTGGGTGGGGGTGCAGAGAGCGGGGCACACCCTGAGTCTGCCTGCTCCCTCCCAGTGGCTGCGGCACGTGGGGCGAGAGAGAGGGTAGGGACGGAGAAGGCGGGGAAGGGGGAGGGGAGAGCAGGTCGCCACACCCTCTCCAGCTGGGAGCAGCTCCGGGGCGGGGCTGCAGCCCGCCTCCTAGGGCTCCAGACAGGCGGAGCTGCCACCAGCTCGAGGTGGTGCTAATGAGATGCAAATGAAAGGAGAAGGAAAGGCTTCTGGGAATGAAAGCCCAGCTGTCGGGACCTGAAAGGGGCTTTCAGTGGTCGCCCCCAGCCCCAAGCAGGAACCCCAGAGGGAGGATCCAGACCCTCAGAGACCATAGATCCTGGAAAGGGTTTTCTATCCCTGCGCATCTAATTCCAAATACACAAGTAACAAAGCATAAAATAAGCATAAGAAAGTTCACTGAAGTTTTTGTTTTGTTCGTGATGAATATTTCAAAGCTTTTAAATATATATATATTTATTTGTAAAGACTTAAATGTAAGACCTGCAATTGCGAAACCCCTACAAGGAAACACAGGGGAAAGGCTCCTTTACATTGATCTTGGCAATTAATCTTTGGCTACGACACTGGAAGTACAGGCAGCAAAAGCAAAAATAGTGAGACTGCATCAAACTAGAAAGTTTGTAAAGGGAATAATCCTCAAGATGAAAGGCAACCTATGGTATGGGAGAAAATATTTGCAAACCATATATCTGATAGGAGTTAATATGTGAGGAATTCATACAACTCAATAGCAAAAAAAACAAATCACCCAATTTAAAAATGAGGAAAAGGCCAGGCACAGTGGCTCAATCCCAACACTTTGGGAGGCCAAGTTGGGTGGATCACCTGAGGTCGGGAGTTGGAGACCAGCCTGACCAACATGGAGAAACCTCATCTCTACTGAAAATACAAAATTAGCCGGGAGTGGTGGCGCATGCTTGTAATCCCAGCTACCTGGGAAACTGAGGCAGGAGAATCACTTGAACTTGGGAGTCGGAGGTTGCGGTGAGCCAAGATCACACCACTGCAATCCAGCCTGCACAACAAGAGCAAACGCCTCAAAAAAAAAAAAAAAAAAAAAAAAAAAGAGAGAGAGAGAGAAAGACCTGAATAGACATTTTTCCAGCAAAGAAATACAAATGGCCAATAGGCATGTGAAAAGGTGCGCATCACTAACCATCAGGGAAATGCAAATCAAAGCCACAATGAGATACCACCTCACACCTGTTAGGATGGCGGTTCTCAAAACACAAGAGATAAGTGTTGGTGAAGGTGTGGAGAAAAGAGCGCCCTTGTACACCGTTGGTGGGACTGTGCAGTAAAATGGTGCAGCCATTATGGAAAACAGTATGGAGGTTCTTCAAAAAATTGAAAATAAAACTACCGTATGATCCAGCAGTCTCACTACTGGTTATATATCTAAAGGAAACAAAATCAGTATCTTGAAAAGATATCTGGCCAGGCGCAGTGGCTCATGCCTGTAATCCCAGCACTTTGGGAGACTGAAGCAGGAGAATCACAAGGTCAGGAGTTTGAGACCAGCCTGGCCAGTATGGTGAAACCCTGTCTGTACTAAAAATACAAAAATTAGCTGGGCATGGTAGCAGGCACCTGTAGTCCCAGCTACCCGGGAGGCTGAAGCAGGAGAATTACTTGAACCTGGGAGGCAGAGGTTGCAGTGAGCCGAGATCGCACAAGTGCACTCCAGCCTGGGCAACAGAGGGAGACTCTGTACAAAAAAAAAAAAAAAAAAAGAAAGAAAGAAAGAAAGAGGAAGGAAGGAAGGAAGGAAGGAAGGAAGGAAGGAAGGAAAAGAAAGGATACCTGGGTCAGGTGCAGTGGCTTATGCCTGTAATCTCAGCACTTTGGGAGGCTGAAGCAGGTGGATCACTTGAGGTCAAGAGTATCCCTATATTCATTGCAGAATTATTCACAATAGCCAAGATATAGGATCAACCTAAGTGTCTGTTGATGAATGAATGGATAAAGAAAATGTCATACACACACACACACACACACACATCCTATACATGTATTTGTATATACTTATGTCATATATGCACACACACAATTATGTATTGTATACATATATATCCAGATATATACAACACACACACAGTGGAGTATTATTCGGCCATAAAAGGGAGGATACCCTGCCATTTGTGACAATGCAGATAAGCCTGGAGGACATTATGCTAAGTGAAATAAACCAGACAGAAAGATAAATACTGCATAATCTCACCTAATGGAATCTAAGCTGAACTCATGGATGCAGAGTGTAGCATGGTGGCTATCGGGGGCTGGGGATGAGAGAATTTAGGAAATATTGCTCCAAGGGTACAAACTCTCAGTTTTGGGATGAGTAATTCTGGGATCTAATATGCAGCAGGTGACGTTAGTTAATGATACTATATTGTGGCTGGGCACAGTGGCTCACGCCCGTAATCCCAACACTTTGGGAGGCCAAGGTGGGCAGATCATCTGAGGTCAGGAGTTTGAGAGCAGCCTGGCCACCATGGTGAAACCCCATCTCTACCAAAAATGCAGAAATTAGCCTGGCGTGGTGGCGGGTGCCTGTAATCCCAGCTAATTGGGAGGCTGAGGCAGGAGAATCACTTGAACCTGGGAGTTGGAGTTTGCAGTGAGCCGAGATTGCGCCACTGTACTCTAGCCTGGGCAACAGAGTGAGACTCCGTCTGAAAAAAAAAACAAAAAAACTATATTGTATATTTACAATGTGCTAAGAGTAGATTTTAAGTGTTTTCACCACATACACAAAAGGTAACTATGTGAACTGATGGAGGTGGTAATTCACCTGGTCATGCCAAGCACTGCAGGAAGTCCGTATATATAATTTTACATTCTTTCCAAGCATTTTTTCCCATCTTTTTGCTGCCAGTTTTCTGGTACCCTGAGCTTAGTCTCCTGGCTTGCTTTCCTGCCCTCTCCCACCCCATCTCCTCTCACCTGAGGTTGGCAGTGGGGATCCTGAGAATCTCTGTCTCAGCCCGGGTCCTGACCTTCTCTCTGGGTTTGTTACATCCCCCGCAGGAAGGACCACAGTTTCGGGGTGGGGCGGGGGGGGCAGGGGGGACACAGTGAAGCACACACCTGAGAGTGCCCCAGAGCTGTTCACTCATTCATCCCCTTAGTAGGGAGCTGAAGAGTGTTCAGGCCCAAAGATGGTGCTTCTCATGTTTGGGGCATGGCCACTTTACCCCATATGTAGGCACCAGGCTTGGGCGCATCTAGTAATAGGCACATCCTCCAGCCAAAACTATGCCAGACCCGCAGGACCACTTGGCTCATCTCGTGGGTCAGCCTCTCTTCAGCTAAGCTGCTGTTCTGCTTCCAGTCTGACCCCACTTCACCGAAATAGCTTCTCTATTCACCAGTGACCACCATGTCTGACCCTGCATCCAACGGCATCTCATCTTTTGTGGTCTCTCAGGTGAAG